GGGGGGGGGGGGGGGGGGGGGGGGGGGGGGGGGGGGGGGGGGGGGGGGGGGGGGGGGGGGGGGGGGCATGTTGCTCATCACATGCGGTCGTCAGTCGTCACTGCGGCCTAGTGATGCGGATCGACCACGATACGGATGCCTAAACTAGTTACTCTAGGCCACCACTGTGCCCAACCCTCCGCCCGTTGGGCTGCTACGTACGAAGAACACTCGTAATTGAGGTCACAATCTTTAGCGAGACATCCTGGTGGCTACAACAGGCGCCGGTTGTGGAGTTATGTTTTTACTTTCCACCAGCGCATAAAACAGCAGATAATCGTTTTGTGCCATTACGTTTTCAACTGGTCGTTTTCTTTTGATGCGCGCAGCCGCGAATTCGTGTATGGTGTCCGCCGTCATTTTGTTCCCTAGACACCAGCAATCCCTTATCCTTTTTCGTCGAACTTGGCATCACTCACGGACAACACTTCCAAAAGACACGTTGTTGCGGCAAATAGAGAACCCCTCTCGGCCATGAAGGCATGATGCTCCGCATACGAGTGCTATAATATTGGGAACATCTTTGGTCTCTTATTGCGTACATAGTATGCGAGCGGACAGCAGCGAATACCGTAGGTGGCATAAGATATATCACACACACCGGACCGAATTGGAAAGCTGGGTTTCTCCACGACAAAGAGGTTTGGACAACCCAAACGATGCGCTTTCAGCAAGCTCTCGATGAGAAGTGTCCAACACCACCACACTTTCTGGTGTTACGTAACGAAGCTTTGGAAATCGGTAAAAGGGTGTGTGATATCTTGTGTCACCTACGGTGGTGAAGCAGTCGAGGAAATGGTCTGGTTCGCGCTTGTATTGGCCACGCACACCGGGCTGTCCATGCACGCCCAAAACGAACAACTAACAGTTTCATCTCTTTTTCTTATGCCTTCGATCCAACGAGAAAAACGAGCAAAACGTTCATCCGTTATACGATTGAAACATTTCAGGACGTTTTGGTTTACAAGCGAGCGACGATCGCGAGGAAGTACGTGTCGACGTGGTTTGGGCCGGACGTCTTGGGCACCGTGCCTTTTGCGTCACTCATAGGGCTCTTCATCACCACCGTGGATAGCCTGCAAAGCGTCAACTTCTTACGGCAAGATGGCTTCGTTTTTGCCAATTACGTAGTAGCAGCGTTCGGTGTTTTCTTGGCGTTGTTTATTTTACGGAAGTTGCTGGCCAGGGTGTGCAGCTTTCTGATTTTACTTTTCTCGGTGCGTGTACGCCCGTTCTTGCACCCGTTCTTGAGCTCAAGGGCAGAGCAGTCGTCAGTAAGTCAAGTTCCAACGCATGATCTGAGTCACCTGTGTCCCCTATTAGTCAAGATTGGACCTGATCGGCCCGATGTAAGCGACGGGTTCGGAAAGACAATACCTGCCGTGGTCTTCTGGTGCATCCGGCTGTGCATGGTGTAAGCATAGAAACGGAGTAGATGCATGATAGGGTTGCCTGTTCGCTGTCCTGAAATACATCAGCCACGTTAACCGACTGACCAATGAGGACACGTCATTTACCAATCAACGATCAGCGTAACTCTGAACGATACAATCTTATCCAAACACCATCATCAGCGCTCCGTGGTTCCGTGATACCTTAGGTCGTGGTTGCTGGTAGTACTGTTGGTGTTGAGCTGGTGTTAGTGTTGGGGTTATCCTCATCAGCTATGTAGCTCGCCGCAAACACGCACAACGTGGTTGCAAGCGAGCCAAACAAAAACCTGGACACAACTAACCGCTACAAGCCAATGGTGCTGCAATGTCAGGCTGGTACGTGTGTTCCGGCTGCTGAAGCTGATGCGGATCCTGCGGCTCTCTAGAAAAATGGCGAAAGTCGACTTCTCCCGGCGGTTAAACCCCTCGATCGTGCGGCTTATCAAGCTGCTCGGAAAGATCGTCTTTGCTGGACACTTGCTTGGCTGCACGTGGTTCGTGGTGGATGAGTGCGACGTCGACGGCGGTGACGACATGTGGCCGAAATGTGGAGGGGAAAGCCTCGGCTCAAAAGTGAGAGAACGAGACAGTTTATATCCCAGAGCGCAATGACTGGGGAAAAGCGCTGTTGCTGTGCATAGAGGCGGAGCGGAGAGGTCAAGGACATCGCCCAAAGTATTCCCTGTGTTCTTGATGAATTGGTACGTAATTGGAAGCACCGCCCCCGTGGTATAAAGGCAAGACTCTGACGGTCAAGTTCTTGGGATTTATTCCGGCATAACACGATAAGAAAAGCGCCTGTTGGTGAGTGGCAAATATCATTGCCGGAGCCGTCTCGCGGAAGAAAATTGGAGGCGCACTCCGTGGGAAAAACTATTAATATACTTGTGTGACCCCCGAAGTAGTTTCTCCGAAACAATGTCAAGAAATCACGACATGTATGTATGCATAGATATGTATGCCGTTGTGACAACCCTTGGCGTGAAAAATTGTCACACATAAAGAAACACTGAAGTATAAAATATCGCGTTCTTTTAATAGACAAAAGAGAGAGAGCGGTTGGCATTGATTGTCATACGATGTACACAACGAGAGAATACGTGGGTGCGTGGCCCGATTTTGGATCCGAAATCGTCCAGTGTAAAGCAAATATTCCTGCGAGCGCTGATGAACCACGTACAAGAACCCAAGCAAGCGCGAATGAGAGCACACACCGATCGCAAGCACGGACAGCATCACTGATTAAGCACCTCGCAACCCCCATGGGTATGCTCCCTCTTTCTGTGTGCAGTTGGGAGGTTGTGCCACGAACGCCTGTCGCTTATGCTCACACCCTCTGGATCGTTGTCAACGTGTACTCTCCCTCTCCCTCTCCCTCTCTCTCTCTCTCTCTCTCTCTCTCTCTCTCTCTCTCTCGCTCTTTCTCTCCCTTTCTCTCTCTCTCTCTCTCTCCCGCTCGCTCGTTGGTCCGATTGGGATACTTTAACGAGTCCAGAACCGGTCATTTTTTCGAACGGCCCTCAACACGAATCCGGAGGCATGTTGTTGTTTCCCGTACTCTTGGCCTCGGAAGCCTCTAAAAATTCCCCGTTGTCATGAGTCAGCCCTTAGCCAAACTCTCACCGTCCCTCTTCATATTTCGACGCGTGTCCATCTCCGGCGGCATGATTCTCCGCCGGCATGATACGGTCTACACCACTGACGTTCTCCGCTTTTTCCTTTTGTGTGCGTGCTGGAAACGTCATTAAGTACCTGGCGAGCTTATACTGGACGATCGCGACCCTGATGTCTGTGGGATACGGAGACATATCAGCCGACACCGACCAAGAGAGGATGTTCGCCCTCGTGACCATGGTAAGTTCGCGATCAAGCCTGCTTTCTCCCTCGATATTTGTTAGCCTAGCAAAGCAACGCGTATGCACAACGCAAAACGGCATGAAGCGTTCCTTACAACACACCCAACCGTTCACGGATTATCTAACCTCTCTCGAATGATTCACATCGAAGAGGGAGTCAACACCGAAGGAACACGTCATCGAACAGTTCTCCCCAGCGAAAAGATCCCCAACTAAGCCAGTGGGTAGCCTTTTAATGCACGGATCCTGTTCAGACTAGCTGCCTACGATAAAGATGTCGAATATTAAGTGAAAATCAACCTGAAGCAGGCGTTTCGCCTCTGTCGTTGCAACAGCGCAAACGCCGAATATCATATTCTGTACACGTTTGCTGTGTCCGGGCCTGTGACTCGTGTAACGCTGATGTATCGGATGCACCTGATCCCCTCTGCGGTGTTGACCTTTCGTGAGCGTGTAATAAGCTACTCGATTTCTAGCCGTTCTCGCACGAAACGTTTACGGTTGGCTTGAGACGGCCGTATCAACGTGGCCAGGCCGACCACTATGAAAACCACCGGTAACGACACCAATCACAACACCAACCGTTAACACCCTCACGTTTTCTAGGTAATCGGATCTACGGCCTTCGGTTTCATCATCGCCATGGTTACCGTCATCGTGGAGACCATGGATCCACAGGTATAAGCTGCTGGCGCACTCAGCAGCTTCACTGGCTAGACACAACCATCCCATTGACGATGTTTCGCAACTTCAATCCGCTCACACGGCTTCCAAACACCGCTTACCCATGAGCTGTCGCAATGTTTTTGCCAATGGGAACGGAGAAAGAAACTCTCTTGTTCTAGTCTAACTTCTGATGTTGTAGCGTGTGTCCAATGGCATCCATACGTCTGGGTCGCTTCCCCCAAACTTAAAAGTGCAATTGTTGCAGTATCCCGAGGTGAAAAAGCCCGAACTTGGTTCCAATGCTCGCACGGTTACTGGGGTCGCCTACTCAGGCCACTGCCAAGAACGCCAAGATGGAAGAGGTGCGAGAGTACATGGGAGTTCGGAAGCTGCCGAAGGGGCTTCAGCTGAGAATGCGAAAGCACTTCGATCACGTCTACAGAAACACGAGCGTCTTCAGACAGGCAAGCAAGCGTCACCAGAATAACGAATGGCGAAAGATCAACTCCGGCAGCAGCATCGTGTCCATAGTGATGGAGATGGGAAAGACGATGAATCAAAACTTAGACGTGATATCAACACTACCCTAGCTACTCCCCCACTTCTTCGCGAAACTGTCGCTTGGATGTGACGGCACTCATCGCTAGCCAAAGATCTGGAAGCTCCACCGTGAATTGCGAACGAAGTGCCGACCCTGTATCCCCTCCCCCCCCCCACATCCACTCTTCCCCATATTTTCGTGCAGGAGACCGTTCTTGTTTGGCAGACGCTTATCAGAATGACATGTTCCGCTATCATGGGTCTTGCTGGAGTTGTACTTGCGTTCGAAAAAGCGTATCACACCAACAACCTCGCCCCCTCCAATAATACTCTTGGTTGGCACCCACCCCACAACTTCAGGTATGCGTACTACCAATCCTCCTTTCAACATGCCCTTGATTGGTACAAATCCCGTGCCCCGCGCAGTCTGCTTCTTCCCTGCGGGTGAATTTTTGCCGACAGATATCACGGCCTCTCACTTGTGGTTTGGATATCTCCCCCTTACCCTCCTCGTCCCGAATCAAAAGGGAAGCGTGGTATTGGGGCATGCCGAGCTTGATACCAACAAACATGTTCTTGCGGGTCCATGCTCACATGTTCCAAACAATCGTCCGGTCAAAAGCAAATTCCTGCGAATGCAAATTCTTGGCAATGCGCATGACCCCCTTTAGAGCGTCAGCCAGAGAGAGATTCGTGGCCAACAGTCTCGCGATATAGACGCCGGGGCAAAATGCTAAACTCCAGGAACCTCCTCCCCACCTCCACACAACCTTCGTACTCATGACAGACACCAATCCTACGAGACCTGCCACACACAGTCCGGATGAAGCTTGTCTTCGATACCCACCAGCATCTCCTGCGAACGCTTATTTTCTTCGAGGATTTCCAAGCCTCCGTCATCACCGAGATGGTCTACCGCCTCAAGCCGATGCAGCTCAAGCGCAAGGTAAGAAAGGTACACCGGTTGTAGAGACAACCTTTGGCGCATTGTAGATGTCCCTGATACCGGTTTTTCCCTTTCTCCTGGTTGTTGCTCAAGCCTCAGGAAAGCCACGATCAAACAATCCCCGTTCATGTTATGGCACACCTAGAAATATCGAGCGGGTGTTGGAAAGCCAAGCGTACACCTTCACCTTCACCATGGCATCACCAGGTCCGAGAAATCGACCCAAGCCTAATGAGTTACAGAGAAAAATGATGTATGATGCCCACGAGCGGTCCGAGATACAAATAGGCCGGCTGCACAACCTTCTACTGTTGCCATGACAAGGGAATCCCAACAAACGTTTTCACGCGTAAACTGATGGACGAGGCAAGCTTGTTCTCGAGCGGACCATCCTGCCCCATTTCTTGAGGCGGCACGCTTTCTCTCATCCCTCTCTCTCTCTCTCTCTCTCTCTCTCTCTCTCTCT